AAAAAAAAAAAAAAAAAAGAACCAAAACGGGGAGAGAAAGAACGGTTCACTTGAGCGGTCACACGTAGCAAGTTAATTTGCTGGGCAGGTTTGCAATGCCAGCTCTCCCGAATCCATAGTCGCCAAAACGGTTGGACCAAGGGCAGGGCGAGGGGCAGGCTATGATATCAGCCGAGAAATAGTCGAGGTTCGCTTTGTTTATTGCGAGGGCGTTCCCCTTTTCTTCCCACAGCCTTTCAATCCTTCGTCGTGACGAAATTGAAATCGATCAGGTCGGGATTTCAGGTTGGCGTCACGGCATTTTCCGCTGAGTTGAAAGCCTATGAAGTATGCCACTGACATCAATCATCAGCCAAATAAAGCCAAATGGGCTGAATGCCCTATAACCATATCGCATATTTGGCATTCTAAACCGCGATGCAAACGAGTCGCATATGATTGTTCGAAACCAGAAAGAAACGGCTTCGAAACGCATTGATACCGGCGCGGCGATACACCTATGATATGATATAGATTCGTTCGGACCCAGCGCCGTCAAGTGGAAGCCCAACATTTCTGAGAACCCTCGAGCAATGCACAAATGCGAAGCCGCGACCGAATCCACGGAGTCGTCAGCCGTGGGTCGGCGGCGGGACCCCCAAACTGCGGAACGGGAGCCTCCACAGTGGTTCGGAATTTTATACATGAGATCTGGTAGTTTGCGAAACGGGGACAGGGATGTTACATTTTACACCGCAAAATCTGTCCACGCTCGAGAGCTGTGAGTTCCTGCACCGCTTCATTACCTTATACGTGTTCATCCCTTCTTAAGGAGGACAAAGACCACTGAAAATTCACATTCTCAACGATGGCACTGGTTCCGGCATTCAGACGCTGCCCAGCGCAAATGACGGTACTTTATCGGCATTCTGGCGTGGCCAAGCTGAGCCAAGGTGTCAAGGTGTGTGGGCTCACGACTCACCGCGGAAACGTTGACACGAAGCGGTCGGCCAGAGAGGACCCGGGAATAAAAGGAAGCGAAAAACCACCGCAAGAGTCCACAAGGCAAGGGTACTGCAGCCTGGCCCACTCTGCCTTGTTGCCCACGGCAAGCGGGCCAATAATGGTACATCAAGTGGGGTAGCCATCCCTGGCGCCTCCATCGACGTCCATGATCCCCCGCCAGGTTGGCAGGTTTGCAGGTGAGCACATCACCCTATCATCTCCATCAACCTCCATCGCCCAGCCATCAACACCGCACTTGACGGACAACGGGTGTGGAATGGATCTAATGTGAGGTTTTTATCAGATCTCACTGTTGGCACGGTATGTCTCTCTTTGTTGGGCGCGAACACGTTATCGTCGTCACCGTCACCGTCGTCGTTGTCGCCTTGTTGTGACAGGCAAGACCCATCTACTCTGATGCACCAGCTCACCAAACAACATGATGATGATGATGCCTCTTCTCGTTTCTGGCAGCTGGGCAAAAAAAGGGTTTG